CTGGGAGGATGAGTCATCTAAATAGTATCTGGATGAAACCAAGCACTGGGTGTGAACATGAATAGGATAGTATCTGGAGGAAAGTAAAAACCAACGGCATGGGTTTATTTTACAATCCTCCTCCTCTTCCTCTTCTTCCTTCTTCTTCTTCTTCCTCCTCCTCCTTCTTCTCTTCCTCCTCCTCTTCTTCTTCTCTTCTTCCTCCTCTTCTTCCTCCTCCTCCTTCTTCTCTTCCTCTTCCTCCTCTTCCTCCTCTTCTTCCTCCTTCTTCTCTTCCTCTTCCTCCTCTTCTTCCTCCTCCTCCTTCTTCTTCTTCTTCTCTTCCTCCTCCTCCTCTTCTTCATTTTTTTTTTTTTTGACACAGGGTTTCTCTGTGTAGCCCTGGCTGTCTGGAAATTGCTCTATAGACCAGGCTGACATCAAACTCAGAGGTCCACTTGCTTCTGCTTCCCAAGTGCTGGGACTAAAGGTGCACACCATCACCACTTGGCCAATTCTTCTTCTTTTACTTATTTACACCAGAAGAGGGCATCAGATCTCATTACAGATGGTTGTGAGCCACCATGTGGTTGCTGGGAATTGAACCCAGGACCTCTGGAAAAGCAGTCAGTGCTCTTAACTGCTAAGTCATCTCACCAGCTTCCCAATTCTACTGCTTTACCAGGGAATGAGAGGTCTTCTGGTAGGGGACCAAATTTTATTAAAAGTGAGGGTAAAACTAGACCATAGTAGGTTGGTTTCACGGTAGAACAAGTGTTGAACATGTTCATGTTGAACAAGTCTGATGTACATCTTAAAACCAACAAAAACCAAACTTACTAAAACTCCTGGCATAGCTTTAGAACACAAGACATCTATATTTCAACTTAATATTGTTTTTCTGTTACAGTAACACAGCTGTACTGTTGTCACCGAGACCTACAAGTAGAAAGCAGTGAGATACTTTCCAGTATTATGGAGCTCCTGAAGTAAAACAGGGCTGCTTCCTTAGTTCTTTCAAGGAAGGGGCAAACACGTTTCTGTAGTCTTTAACAACAATGCCTGCAAACCAATCACAGCAAAGACAAACCCTCTGATGTCTAAGCTACCA